TTTTGTTTTATTTAGTATGCAGGCAGATATACTGCTACTCTCTTTTTATTATTTTTTTTGGGGGGGTTGGTTTCTTTTGTGGCACTGGGGTTTGAACTCAGGTCCTCACACTTGCTAGGCAGGTGCTCTACCACTTGAGCCACTTCACCAGTCCTCTCTTTTTATTTTTAAAAATTAACTAATTTTACAGTACTACTGTAAAATTAAACCCTTGTGTATGCTAGGCAAGCACTGTACCACTGTGCTGTATCTCCAGCCCACAAATCTTTTAGAGTATCAAACCACATCCTCTGAGTGATTGTGTCCTCCTTTGGCCACACACTGAGAACTGTGTCTTTGGTCTGAGAATGGAGTAGGAAATGGAGAGTCTGGATAGGGAAATTAGAGAGGAAGTTTCCTGGTATTTGAGAAAGATTTCTCTGCATGATTTCTGAGATGCGTTTCTCTACAATGGCAGAAATACACATATTCAAATAAGGTACATCAGCACATTCTGATGTCTTCCTTATACGTTTTTTTGACATCTATGTCTTTTAAGACATTTAGAATATTCTATCTGGTGTTCTGATTAGAGCTATATTTGCATATATGCCACCAGACTGAAAACTACTGAAAAGTAGAGAAATTTCTTAGTTGTTTTTATATTCTCAGTAGCCTTGGGTAATAACATTATAATAGACATTTTAATGACAATATAATAGGCATTTTAATAGGAAGGGAGAGAATGTTGTATATACATACAACATAAAAATAATTTAAATAGTACCTTTCCCACTATAAAAGATTTATTTTTTCAACAATTTTAGGAAACATTGTGTGAGTGTTTAATAGACTGACATAGATAAACTAAGGCTGTTTTGCATTTGAATATTTTTTGTCATACCAGATGTAGTGACTACATGCTTCAGTTTTTCAGTTATTAAATGAATTTAATAAAAGTATTACCCTATGATAACATTTTAAGGATTAGCCAAAACAATCTGATTACAACAAATATATTCTCAGTACAACATCTGGCTCTGTTGAAACTTTATTATTAATAATCATAATTAGATGTGGAAGAGAATAGCACTGTGTAGCCCAGGCTGTCCTGAAACTGGTGATTCTCCTGCCTCAGCCTCCTTAGTTCTGGTATTATACGTGTGTGCCATCTCACTGGCTTTATTTTATTTGTTTTATAGGAGACCATCAACTTTTTTTTCTTGGTGGTTCTGGGGTTTGGACTCAGGGCCTTGTGCTTGTTAGGCAGGTACTCTACTACTTGAACCATATTCCTAGTTTTTTGCTTTAGTTATTTATAGAATAGGGTCTTCTGTTGATGTCCTGGCTGGTCTGAACACAATCCTCCTATTTACATGTCTGCTATAGCTGGGATGACAGGTGAACACCACCATGCACAACTTTTATTGGTTGAGATGCAGTTCTTGCTACCCGCTCCCCTGCTGCTGGCCTTGGACTGCATTTCTCCTAATGTCACCTCCTGAGTAGCTAGGGTTACAGACAGATGTGAGCCACTGAGATGAGCCTTTTTTTTTTTTTTTAAAGTACTGAGGATTGAATTTAGGACTTCACTTTTGTGGTGAATTTCATAAACAATTAGACTGAATTCTTTGGATGCCATGTTTAAACTTTACAAAAACATTTTTGTAATGGTAAGCAATAGTTTGCAATAGTAAGCAATTATTCATTCAAGAATTAATTTGTTCTTAGCCAGGTGCGCTGAGGATTCTGGAGAAAATCTTATTGTGGCTTCTTCCCACTACTCTGGGGGAAATGTAAGGGCTCATGGTCTCTTGCTTGATGTCTTGTAGAGGGCTTAAGAGAGATCACTTGGAGATTTGAAGAGTCCCCCCATTTCTCTCTTATGGAGCAGAGAGGACTAGGGACTGACTGCCTGAGATGTCCAACAAGGAGAGAGCTGTGCCTGCCAGCTACTCCCATAGCAGGAGCTACACAGGAGGTGGCTGTGTTAGGATTTATGAAGGATAAATGAGTGTCTCCTGAAGATCAGAGGCAGGGCTCTAAAGGAGAGAGGTAGCCTGAAGGACAGTGAGGCTCCAACAGTGACAGCCAAAAGGCCAGGAGGAGAATGAATTACCCAGGTTACTGGAGCTATAGCCAGAAGGAACTCTAAGGCAAGAGTCTTAAAGAACCTACAAAAGTGGATCTGAGAAAAACAGACTCAACTTCAGACGTAATCCTTTTGACAGTACCACTCAAGTTGAAATCTTCTTGCTTTCCTTCCCCTAGCCTCCCTCTCTCCCACAGTCACCAACAGCTAGGGGTAGGGAGAAGTTTGTGGGAGAGAAGAGAAGCAGTGGATCTCAAATCCTTCTTAGTATCCCTGGGACTGGGGACAATTTTTAATTACCAAGTGAAAACTGGTTTGTTACCTGGAGCGACTGCAGGCTTCTCTGTTATTTAACATTGACAAAAAGAAGCATTTGGGCCTGCTGAAGTGCTCATCCAGTGACAGGGAAACTGTTCCTCACTGAATAAACTTTAAGAGGATAGTCAGGACAAGAAGATGTGTTTGATTATATCTTGTTGTTAGTGTTTATTAAACGAAGCTTATAAGTTTTCATGTTTGGTATAGACTTGATAGCTTATGAGAGCACTCATTTCTTTAGCACAAAATTATGATTATTTGTACTTAATGTTTTTATTTTTCTGTCTTTGGCTTTCTTTTGTTTGGATTGTCTTAGAATCATAGCAAGAAGTTATTATTTCTAATTATTATTTTTTTTATTGTGAAAGATAACATACATTTAGAAGATAAAAACATATGTACTGCTTTACCAGAATCCACAGTGAATACTTGTGCAAGGGTTTTTTCCTTCAAAGTACCATGACTCATGTGAGCATTATATGTAATGTAACTTTATGTTCTAGGATTTCTTGATGTGATCTATGATTTTGTGTTGGCATCTTACTTGTGAAAGTGCTTTTATCTAAAAATGGATGTTTGAATTTTTTTTTCTAGTTTGCCTAGTTTTAATATTAATTTTTTTTGGATGTACTGGGGTTTGAACTCAGGGCTTCACACTTGCTAGGTAGACACTGTACTTCTTGAGCCATGCCTGCAACCCTTAAATTGTTTCTTAAACAAATTACTAAACTCTTTTGAGTGGGATTAAGTTATTATAGATTCAGTGAAATTTTTATGTAAGGTAGACTGAAAATACCCTCATATGTTTTTAAGCAGACCCATATTGGATGGCTCTGCAGGTGTGGTGTTGGGGTGTGCAAACTTAATTGGCCAATCAGCCTCTAATGCTCTTTTTGAATCTCCACTACTAATTGTTGAATATTACTAAATAACATGGCCCCATTTGCATAGTGTCTTCATTGTGTTTTAAGAGTACAGTCTTTTTTTCTGGTAAGGGAAGAAAAGATATAGAAATACAGCTGATTAAAATACTGTGTGTGTAATTTAAAATGCAAGAAGGCAAAGAAGTGAAGTTACTAATATGGTGAAGCTTTACTTGAACCCAGTGTTGAGGAATGATCTTTGCCTTGGCTTCCTATCTTTGCTAAGGAAATAGAGAAACAAACTAGGAAACTTTCAGAGAGCTGAGTGGAGTTCTTGAGACTATCTGCTTCATTTTATAAGATAAACAATTTATTGTCATTGTTAAAATACTAAATTATTAAGCATCATATGCCAGATACTGGGGTTTAGATGTATATTTTCTATCCCTTAATAAGTCTGGAAAGATACACATTTGACTCATTTTCAAGATAAGAAAACAGGTTCAGAAGGAAAGTGACTTGCCCAAGGACATATGTAATTGTAGAGTTGATGACCTGAACTAGGACTGTTTCTTTTGCAGCCCATGTGCCCCATTAATTTATTATACATTTTTGGAAGAACTTACAGACTTGATATCCTATGAGAACACTCATTTCTTTGGTTAAAAATTATGATTATTTATACTTAATATTTCTTTCTCTTTTTGATTTTCTTTGAATTTTCTCAGAAGCAGAAGCTATGACTTCTGATTCTTATTTTCTATTGTGAAAAATAATATACTTTCATAAAAGATAAGATATATGTATAGTTGATAAATAGTTATAAACTAAATACCCAGTAACTATTATCCAGGTCAAAAACTGTCCACTAGTGTATCAGTCAGTTTCCTTATGGAGAGAGCTAAGCCAGGCCCATGTGAGTGATTGCTTCTTAACCACTGGGTAAATAATTACATCTTTACTCCACCCGGGAGTTAACCACTATTCTGATCACAGTGTGCATTTCTTTACAGTTTGACCACCCAGGTATGTCCTAAACATGTCTCTTTATTTGTTTTTTGGTTTTTTTAAAGACAGGATCTTGCTATGTATCCCAGACTGGCCCCAGACTCAAGCTCTTCCTATCTTGGCTTCCTGAGTGCTGAGATTACAGGCATATTCTACCATCCTTGGCCTTATTTTTTTTTTAAATGAATTACTTGCTGAGCACCAGTGGCTCACACCTGTAATCCTAGCTACTTGGGAGGCTGAGATCAGGAGGATCGTAGTTTGAGGCCAGCCTGGGCAAATAGTTTGAGAGACCCCCCCTTCTCCAAAATAACCAGAGAAAAATAGACTGGAGGTGTGGCTTGTGATGAAGTACCTGCTTTGCAGGCATGAAGCCCTGAGTTCAAATCCCAGTCCCACCAAAGAAAAAAATTTCTTCCCATAGATTAGAAGTTGTTTATAACCATAAGTAAGTATCAAAATAGATAGGGCTATAGGGAAATGTTTAATTTATCTAAAACCATGAACTTCTCAAGAGTTCAGTTAAATATATATAATTGCTAAGCTAATTATAATTAGCCAGTGTTTGAGGTATGATTCAGATTTGTTGTCAATTTATTCCAACTTTTCCCTTATTTTGCAGTATGGATTATACCTTTTTATTAATATTCTTTGAGATGTGTATTGTATACAATGGAATAAATGCAAATATAATTTTCCATGTCATAATGTTCCTTCCTTTCTCTTCCCCTCTTTTCCAGCCTGGGTAGGTTCTCTCTCCATGGGGATGATTTTCTTTTGCTGCCCAATAGCCAGCGTCTTCACAGACATATTTGGCTGTCGGCAAACAGCTGTGTTGGGTGCTGCTGTGGGCCTCATTGGACTCATGTCCAGTTCTTTTGTAAGGTAAGGAATTCCGTTGCTTTTGAATTACTGTTAAATACCACCTCCTTTTCATTGCTTGAAATGAGCTGTTATCTATAGCAGCAAATCAGAGCTTGAGAATTTGAATGCTTTTGCTTGCAGTGCCTAAGATTTAGATGCCAGTAGGATATAGTGTTCCCCAGAGCCAAGAAAAATTTTGTCCTTTTCTTATTTTCTATTCACATAAAAGTCCTAAAGGAATCAGTTTTATCTGCAAGTTATCTAGAGCAGTGACTCCAGGTTACAGTCAGCTCCATCTGATCCCCAAGAGGTACAATAAATGTTTTGTGGTGGTGTTCATAAGCTTGACAAAAAAATTTTTATTAATGGGACCAAGAATTTAAAAAAAAATTAATTCCAACCCAGGCAGAGAATTCCTGTTTATACTTTTAAAGAAAAAGGTTATGTTAAAATATTTAAATATCATGGCAAAATGACGTGGTCAAATACACTTTAAAATAAAACTCAATACCAGTACTCTTCCCTGTATTTGTTAGTAGAAAAGATGTTGGGCTTTGAGGAGGCACTAACTACTAGGAGCTGATGGGCACGTTACTCTGTGAAACAGCGCCAGTTCTCCTGGGAATTCCCTTGCATGGTTAGACTATTCCACAGAGAAACCCCGGTTTAATGTGTAGTCCTGGCTAGCAGGAGGTAATTAACAAGAGTACTTCTTAAGATCACTTGCATTCCTTTAGTGCTTTCTCTTTCTTTCCTGTCTATCTTCCTACTGCTGTAGTTGAAACATGCTTTAGTCATAGGGACTGAAAAAGTCAAATTTGCATTTATTGCCCTGCTTATTTATTTTTGGTGGTACTGGGGTTTGAACTCAGGACTTCATTCCTGCTAGGGAGGCGCTCTACCTCTTGAGCCACATCTCCAGCTCTTTTTAAAAATATTTGGCTTTCAATCAACAGAAGCCCTCCTTAGTTTCACTTGCTTCACCTTCTACTACATAACCCCCTTCCTCAAATCTAAAGTGAGCCTCTTCCCAAGAGATGTTCAATTATTTAGTTAAGTTAAAAAAATTTTAATCCTTTATTTGTTTGAGACATAGGCGGCCTTAAAGCTTACAAACTGGAATCAATAGTGAAGGCACTAATTCAGTCTTTCAACAATCAGAATATGATTTCTTGTTATCTTGCACAATGCTGGGAATAGTGCAATGCAGGGTGAATGTTGGTGTGCAGCCCTGAGGCCAGCAAAAATGAGGCACAGATGTTCTCTGTGTATGTTCTTGACATAACCCTGGGGAGACAGTATCAAATGCTGCCTTTTCTTTACTAGATTGCTTAGTAAGTACCTGAGAAAATACCACAAAATAATGAGTTTTCAGACAAGGTTTTTTGCTAGTTTAATCACTGAGGATCTTACAGAGGCTCTTCTGGGTGCTGACTTTATTTCTGAGCAGTGGAGAGCACAGTTCACACCTAACAACACCATGTGGTTCACCCAACATCATGAAAAAGAGAAGGGGTGACAAAATCATTGATGACGTTAATGGTCATTTCTCACACATTCATATTAAATTATTTTTAGTGCTGCATTCTTTCTTTCTTTTTTGTCTGTACTGGAGTTTGAATTCAGGGCCTCACAACTTCTAGGGAGGCACTCTACCCCTTGCACCATGCCCCTCACACTTAGTGCCACATTCCTGATTTATTAAGTTTACCCCTTATTTTTGGTTAATTTTCACTTGCAGGAAATATATTGATTGATTAATTAAAACCCACTTTTACTATGTAATGTTCTATTCTACCAACATGTGATATAAATAATTAAAGCTGCTTTCATCTTTTTCATATCCGTACAGTTCCATCGAGCCTCTGTACCTTACCTATGGAATCATATTTGCCTGCGGTTGCTCCTTTGCATACCAGCCTTCATTGGTCATTTTGGGACACTATTTCAAGAAGCGCCTTGGACTGGTGAATGGCATTGTCACTGCTGGCAGCAGCATCTTCACAATTTTGCTGCCTTTACTTTTAAGGGTTCTGATTGACAGCGTGGGTCTCTTTTATACCCTGCGGGTCCTCTGCATCTTCATGTTTGTTCTCTTTCTGGCTGGCTTTACTTATCGACCTCTCGTTTCTAGTGCCAAAGATAAAGAGAGTGAAGGGAGAAGATTCTTCCTTTTTTCCAGGAGAAAATTCAGTCCTCCAAAAAAAATTTTCAATTTTACCATCTTCAAGGTGACAGCTTATGCAGTGTGGGCAGTTGGAATTCCACTTGCACTTTTTGGCTACTTTGTGCCTTATGTTCACTTGGTAAGTATGTATCTTTGGCTCTGCTGGAAATTGGCATTACCATTTCCTACAGGAAAATTTAGAAGAGCAAGATAGATCAGGTTGAAGTTGGCCTCAGACATTATCCTGATTGTAATTTGGGGACCCTTGAATTTAAAGATCTCTCATGACAAAGTTAGTACATCTATTTGGCCATTAAACAAAGAGTGTGTTTCATGATCTGTGTCAGTATTTTAAAAATCCCAAACCCAAACAAACAAAAAACAGTAAGAAAGGAAGGCTAAAATCTTAGAACAAGTTATATCGATATGAAACATTTGATGGCTACTTCCTGTAGAAGTGGTTTACTAGTCTTAATCAGGGATAAAAAAAGCTAGTGTAATTACTGCCAAAATTAATTATTTTTCAACAGAAGTTTGCAGAAATAAGGTAATAACACCAACAAAAAAGCATTACATGTACTTGTGGAACACTTCTGGGAAAATGGAATACTATTGAGAGGAGTGTGTGATAAATGGGAGGAAAGTTCTAAAAATTAGGGAGATTAGGATTTCAAGTACTCAAGCACTTTATATTGTTGATCTCTGGTTCAAAGGCAAAAATCTAGCCTCTTTACACAAAACAAAAATAAGCAGTGTTAAAGTACTTGCCCTCAGCAGGATCAAAAGCGCTCGTTATGTTTCTTCCTTTTTTCTTGTTGTTTGTGGAGAAAGTGTATATAGTTCAGTGTCGATGACGACAAACAGAAATGACACTAGCTTCAATTTTTCTCTTGGATGTATACTGCATATGTGAACTTGGGTCTTTTTTTTAGCTTATAGTTTACTTTTGAACATTCATTCAATTTTTTTTAAGGTGTTTTGGTGAAAGTTCAGCAGTTCAGAATTACTGGCAGCAACAGATCAATTGGCAGGCACATCATCAGCCCTGTGGGCTCCTATACTTACTTCGCAGAGTAATTAGGCCAAGAAAATACGGAGAGATGGTAGGCATGTCTTGAATCTAAGAATAGTTTGGATTTCTCAATGCTCCTTATTCTCCTCTTGCCAGGATAGCTGGGGAAGCAACTGGATGACTAATGGGCAGACATAGGAAAGGAGTAGGTCATAGTGCTCAGAGCCACTTGGCATTTTTCATAGACTTAGGTTTTAGGTAAAATTACCTCGTATGTGGCTTCAGTCAGAGCTCATAGTCTGTTTTCAGACTTTAGGAAGATGTGTCTAAAACATCTGAACCTAATTTTTGTTGTAATATACCTGTCTCTTATGTAGCTTCTTAGTCAAGAAAATATTTATTGTGTCCTTTCTCAAGGATTTAGAAATTCCTTCCCTTCCTCCCTTCCTTCCCTGATTGGGGTCTCACTGTGTAGCCCATGCTGGGCTGGAACTTGAGTCCTGCATGCTGTGATTACTATGTGCGCCACCACACCAGGTTTTGTGGTTGTTGTTTTTCTTTTTGATACTATAAGGTGAACATACCCAGAGAAATCAGTATCTCAGCTTTGCTAATGGTAGATGCTTATTAAAGAGCAACTGGCAGAAATGGCTGCCATTTCTGGTTATATGTTTATAGTTTATAAATTTATTTCACATGTATTACTTCTTTTGGCCTTCACAATAAATCTATAAAGTAGGCAAAATAAATAATATTAACCCCCATTTTACAGACTAGAAAACATATCCATCATTAACAGAGATGCTGAGTGAGTCCTCAAGAATCCCATGTTAGTAAATAGCAGAGCAGGGATTGGTTTCCTTGTACCATCCTCACCTTGTAGGAAATCTAGTACAGTACTGTTTAACAGCACATTGGGCCACTTCCCTGGATTAACACCTGATATGTGCATCCATTTTATTGGAGAGAAAGTCATATGCCTAAGGAAATTTAATAAATTTGTTATTGATCTTTTTCTTAAGGTAAATTGAATTTCATAGAGGGCAATAAGTTATGAGTTATACAATATTCTGGATGCTATTTGTAATCAGGAGGTGTCAAGTCAGATGTTATGCAGAACTATGAGGTGTCTAACTCCATTAATAAATCATGCCTTTTTTCTTATTTTTCCTCCTTGCAAGCATATTTTCTCACAAAAATGTGTTGACATTTTTCCTTTGGGAAACACTAGACAATTAAATGCCATGCATGCTGTTTAAATCTTGTCTTTGGTGGATGCACTGAGTTTGTTACTTTGTTGTAATTTAAGATTTGAATTATGGATACTTAAAACCCAGGGGATGCTAGTTTCCTCCTTTGAAATGGGGAGAAAGTATCTCAAATCCTTCCAAAGACTAGTAGATGATGTTCAATTCACACTCAACCCTTTATTGACTGTTGAAGGGGATAAACATATATAACATATCAACTTGTTTTGAGAAGCATGAACCTAGTAAATGTAATAACAAAAACTTACAGTCTACAAAGCACTTTTACATGCATTCTCTTATTTAATCTTCACAACAATGCAAAATATCATCCTAATTTTCTCAGTGAAAAGACAAAAGGCACTGAAAGGTGAAATAAGTTACTTAAGGCCCAGAGGAAGTGACTGATAGTTATTAATGTGATACTTTATGCAAGAGGCAGTGTGGTTATTGGCTTCAGGCAGAAGTTCCTGGAGCTAAATCCTGGTTTGTCCATTCCTATTGCACAACCGCAGGCGTCCTCTCTAAGCATTGTTTTCCTCATCTGTAAAATAAAGATAAATACACCTTGCAGAGTTGTTATAAGGATTAAAAAATATATGTAAAGCACATACCTCAGTTTTCAAAATTTCAGACAATGTGATTGCCTGCTAGGTGCTTTTAAGGGGAGGTATACATTCACAGGAGAAAGATGATTTTCACTTGCTAAAGTAGTTAGGAAATGCTTCATGGCATTGGAGTTGGACCTTGAACATGAGGTTTTGTGTTAAAACTGAATCTTTGATCAACTAGGAAACTAATATTTCAATTTAGATCTGTGAAGATTCAGAAGTGCAATGAAGTGCTCCCATGGCTCTGTTAAAATCTTAAGATCTTATTAGACTATACATGACAACTTGAGACAGAATATACATGTTCTCAAAGCAAGGGTGGAGGTTTTATCTTTTTCTTGTAGGTGACTTTTTAAGGTGAAGATGTCAAATTACCTCTCTTAGGCATACTCTACTTACAGTCTCATTATACGGACACAAATCTTACATATGGCTTTAGATGAGGTCTAACCTTCTAAATAACCATTCTTAGTAGCAGCTGCTTCAGTTTTCAGGAATTTCCTCCTTTGCACGAGAGATTTCTTGTTTGTTTCCTTTTGGCAGTGCTGGAGTTTGGAGTTTGAACTCAGGGCCTCCTGCTTGCTAGAAAGGCACACTACCACTTGAGGCACACCCCCGGCCCTTTTTTGCTTTAGTCATTTTTCAGATAGGGTCTCACACTTTTTGCCTGGGGCCAGCCTGAACTTAAATTCTCCTACCTATGCCTCCCATGTAGTTAGGATTACAGCTGTGAACCACCACACTTGGCTTGTTTGTTAAGATGGAGTCTCACTAACTTTTGCTTGGGTTGGCCTCAAACTGTGGTCCTTCCTATCTCTGCCTCCTGAGTAACAGGATTATAGGTGTGTGCCACCATATCTAGTTTGAGAGCTTTTTTGTTTGTGTCCTGAGTTAACTTCTTACTGTTCCTCCTTACCATTCACTTCACTTCCAAGAGCATGACACACTGTTGGTTTTTCTCCTACCTCCTCACCGCTTGTTCTCAATTTCTTTCCTGACTTTCCTTCCAGCTCCTGAAAATCCGGCATGTTCTAGGGCTTTTTCTCTATGCGTTCCACTGGTACTTTCACCCAGTCTCCTGAGTTCAAACATCATGTATATGCCAGTGACTCCACATGTATATTTGTAGCACAGACCTCTTCTCTCAGTCTTCCTTTATGTTCAGACAAAAATGTCTGACCCTGAAGTTCTGATCTTAGCCACCTCCTGCCCCCACAACAAAATTGCTCTGCTCCCAACCATCCTCATCACAGATGGCAGTTGCGTCCTTCCAGATGATCAGGCCCCAAACCTTGGAGCCATCCTTAGATCCTTTTTCTTGTTCACCACACCCCTGATCAAGGTAGGAAATCCTGATGGCTCTCCTTTCTAGTTATCTCTCACTGTCCTCCGTGTTAGCACTTTAGCCCAGGCCCCGCTAGCTTGGATCTCTCCATTGGCCTCTTAACTGGTCTTCCTGCTTCCTTCCCTGCCACTTGTAGCTTGTTCCCCATACAGAAGCCTTTGTACATTTGTCACTCTGCTCAGAATCCTTCAGTGGAAATGAGGAAATCTTCATTTTCTAAGAGTAAAATCTAATGTCCTTACAGTGGCCTACAGGTCCTCCATGATCTGGACCCTCCTATCTTTCTGATTTTCTGTCCTGGTCTCTCTTGCTCACTCAGCTCCTGCCCTTCACCTTCTAATCAGGCTTACCCTGGCCACCTGGCTAAAAATCCTCCTCCTCCCTCCATCCCAGCATTCCCAAACCCTTTTACATTACCTTTTTTCTTTTTCTTCTTTTTTTTCTTTTTTCATAGTACTTGGTACCTGCCCTCATATTTTTACTTTATTATGATTATTGCTCACTATCTTTATATACATATATCTCTCCTCAAACCATGAGTGAAGTATCTTTCTCTGTTCAATGATAGATCTCCAGCATCTAGCACAGTGCCTAGCACACAGTGGGTGCCCAAATATTTGCCGACTAGATAGATTATGGATAAGTTTAAAGTGACACAAGTGGTATTTCCATTCTTACCATTTTAATCTTTAAGCTCTACTGCTTTCATGCCATAATGATTTTTATATGACATGATGGTGTTCTTATTCACTCAGTACTTAACGAACAAGCTCAAACTCAGTAAACCTTGGAAGAATTATTCATGCTGTCAGTTGGCGGGAGGGAGCATTGTCATGTTCTGCTTTGACCACAGCTTTATGCCGATGCTAAGATTATAAATAGGAGGGATTTCTGTGTCTCTGAAGCAACTGTGTCTTCATTGCC